CCAAGGCTTAGGTTGCTCCTTCTCCCTGGGTGGATGTTGTTGTCTATGTTATCTGTCTCTCGTTCTCTACTTCATTTGCTTACTTGCCCGTATGCGTGGGCTCCTGCGGGGTTTTATAGGCCAACCCCCCAGGGATACAATGGTAATGTTACAAGCCGGTGGGTCCGGGTTGTCGGCGTCCGGGGACCCGGGCTGGGGGCCTGTGGTTCGCCGGGTTCCCCTAGCTGCGGGCCCCGCGTGCCTAGGGGGACTGTGCATCGTCTTGTCGATCGTCAGGGCTTGGCCGAGTCGAGTCGTGTAGAGTGGCGCTCCGTCGGGTCGCCGCTTGCTGTCGTCAGCGGTGATGGCGGGGGCACTGTAGCCACGCCGGCCCTGGTCAGCGGGTAGGTGAGGGGCACTGTTACCACGCTCCGGTTGACCAGAGGCATGGGCGGGGCACTGTTGCCTTAGTCATCAGTGGCTGAAGACTCGTCCCATCGCACGGCCTGGATGGGACGGGAGCTGACCCGTGGCTGGATTGCGGAGCACGCCACGGGTGGAGCTGGCTTGTTGAGGAAGCCTTGGTTGCGCCGGGTTCGGCTGTCTTGTACTAGTTGTTGAGGCCGAGTCGACGTGTCTTGCCGGGTCGGAGAGTTTGGCCTGGTTGCAGGGTTTGGCCGGGTCGAGCGACCCGGCCAAGCGCGTGTTGGCTTGAGGGGCGATGCCGGCCCCATTGTTTTTGAAAAGGATCCGGGTTCCGTTGCCTGCCCGGGGTTCATCCCCCCAACAGAGGAGGAGGCGGCCAGGTGGAGGGCGCCCCCCCCCCCTCCCCAAGTCCAATCCGAATTGGGTGGGGGCCGGGCCCCCTTTCCTTCCTCCCTCTCTTCCCCTTCCTTCTCTCCTAGTCCAACTAGGGAGGGGGGGAATCCTACTCCCGGTGGGAGTAGGACTCCTCCACGGCGCGCCATAGGGGGACGGCCCTCCCCCTCCTCCACTCCTTTATATACGGGGGAGGGGGCACCCCATAGACACACAAGTTGACATTGTTTAGACGTGTGTGTGCCCTCCCTCCACAGTTACACACCTCGGTCATATCGTCGTAGTGCTTAGGCGAAGCCCTGCGCCGGTAAATTCATCATCACCATCACCACGCCGTCGTGCTAACGAAACTCTCCCTCGGCCTCAACTGGATCAAGAGTACGAGGGACGTCTCCGAGCTGAACGTGTACTGAACGCGGAGGTGCCGTACATTCGGTGCTTGGATCAGTTGGATCGCGAAGACGTTCGACTACATCAACCGCGTTAACTAAAGGCTTCCGATTTCGGTCTACGAGGGTACATGGACACACTCTCCCCTCTCGTTACTATGCATCACCTAGATAGATCTTGCGTGATCGTAGGAATTTTTTTGAAATTACCGTGTTCCCCAACAGTTTACTCCTCCTAGAGCTTGGAGCTCACGAATTTACCCATTTTGTGTTGTTTTCACACCTGACTAGTAGGTTCTTCTAGTATAAGAGCATAGTTGATAATATAACCGACCGGTGGCTATAACATGTTGCCATGTCATCTATAGACAATGTAATAGCCAACATGTATAATAGTTGGCTACAAGGAAGTACTACTTTTTTACCACATGGTCCACCATACATTCTCACATAGCTTCTTGGAGTCCATGCTACAGTCGGCTGTAAATCTACAGCCCGCTTCTCTTCTTTCTCATCCAACTCAGTAAAGATATAATATTTTAAGCCTTACAGCCCATCTATGTCATCTTAATGTACTTGTCTAAGTACTCCCAAGTTGTTCCATGTGAAGGGGGATGAAATTTCTGAGTTTATTTTTATAGATAGCCGGTGAGGTTGTGGTGTGCTGCGAGAACTAGTATCGTTGAGTGCTAGCTTGTGTGTGTGGATTGGAGGGCATGTCCTCAATTCATATAGGATCCTTGTAGTTCTCTCTTGTGATTCTACATAGGTTCACAAGTTTCATGGTTTGGGTTGCGTACTTGTTAACCAAGCTAGTTATCCACTTCAATTTATTTGAGAGTGTTTCCTCTTGTTCCTTGCCACTTGAGAGAAACAAAGTTTGTCCAAACAAGTTTTGAGAGAGATAGTTGTTGCTCCTTGTGAGTTCTTTGGCACCGTGAAAGATTGTTTCCGTGGCGTCCCATATCAACAACTCCCCAACCAACCCGATGAGCTGAGATGGAGATGGACTAACTCCGGTCAGTACTCCGCCAAGTCCTGCTACCTAGCTCTCTTCCTCGGTTCCATCCCGGACCCGAACTAACGCCTTCACTGGAAAACATGGGCTCCCCTGCAGGTGAAGGTGTTCTCTTGGCTAGCCGTTCTCGATTGTTTCTGGATAGCGGACTGTTTAGCCCGGTGTGGCCTCCCACGAGCATTTGTACTCCTTTTGCGATCAGGTGTCGGAAACCATGTACTACCTCATGGTTGGATGTCCCTTCTCGCGCCAAATCTGGCATGAGGTTCTTGCTTGGTGTTGGTCGACGATATCCACCCCATGTCCGACGACCCCCTTTGTGGACTTGTGGGCGTCTTCTTGCTCCCAAATGCCAACCTCCGTACGCCGAGGTTTATCCTCGATCATCATACTATCGGCCTGACACCTTTGGAAGTACCGCAACGGTTGTATCTTCGACAAATCTCGGACATCCGCCACTCGCGTGTTGCAAACTATCCAGGACGACGCACGATGTTGGGAAAGAGCCGGCGCCACCAGGATTGGCACCATCATCTTGTGTGATGTAACCAAACATGTACTTTCTTCTACCCTTCTATCAATGGGATTATATGCAAGCTTTGCGAAAAAAGAAAATGAACTGAGCACTTTAGTTTAAGTTGCAGGACAATATTGGTTGCTGATATTTACATCTTGATATCTGATTACACATGAATCAATACTAAGGGACATAATTTAGACTTCTGCAAGGTATAAAGAAGAATACTAAGCTGTCGGTTTGGGGTTTTCTTCAGAAAAGAGGACACTATTGCCTTCCGCAAGCGTTGCAATCATACTGGTTACGCCTATAAGCACGAGGAACGCCTATTATCAAGATTAAATGTAGTACAATCCTCATCCGACTACTTGGAATTCCTTTTGCTCTACGACAACAATCTAAAGTTCAGAACAGATGTGATGTGTACACCTTGAAAAGCACGGTTACGCTACTTGGTACTGGATTATGTAAATCGAGTAAACACAACACCAAGAACTTGATACTCCTTTTCTTGGACGCGGATTTGGTGAACTTGGTTCCACGCCATAGTAAACTCGGAAAAAAATACTAGAAAAATGAAAGAAAAATCTGGGAAAAATTTATAACACGCATAGTCGACCGGTATACTTGCGTATGAAGTTTCACGAAGAGATGACCTCAATGGTATTTGGGCCAAAAATGACAAGATCGAAGCTATGTTAGAAAACACTCTTTGATGAATAGTAAAGTCTCAATTGTATTTTCTTCACTAAGAGTACCACGGGTGTCAATACTTCACGAAATTTTACATGTCAGTAGAATGGTCAACCAAGTTTGATACCCCAAAACTCAGATGTTCAAAAAATTTCCTAGTATTGTTTTCGAATTTATTATCCACGTGGGTGCGCATGGAACCATGTTCACCTTTGTCGTTTCATCCTTTTCTCCACCTATAAAATTTCAGTCATCTTGTTGCCCATACTTGATGGTGATTTTTTTTTACTTCTCTCCACCAATATGATTGTGCATAATTTTAGCAGGAGTGACAAAGTCTGATTGTATTTATTTACAAAATTAGAGGGTCATTTTATTGTGCACTTCAGGATTTGTGTGTGTACAGTTTTTATTGTGTCATCTCCTCCTTGTATCAAGTGTTCGGTTTCATAGAAGGTGTTCCTGAGATTGTTCATGTGGGAGGGTGTCCAGACCTGGGAATGTATCAAAGGAAGAATGTATTGAAATATTGTAATGTTCCTATGGAATTTTGTCTATCAAAATGACAATAGTTGTCTTCAGTTATTCTGCAAGGAACAGACTTCTTTTATATATCAATTCAACTTGCTGTAGCATGTCCTCCAATGCCAAATTGTTATTCCTTCATCGGAACTGTTCTTGAGATATGAAGATAGTCTACAGAAACTTGCTCGAATGCAATGCATTGCTGTTATTCTCATTTTTCATCGCTACTGGAGTTCACCGTTTTAGGATTCAAGGATTCACAGTTCATTGTTCTCTAGTGTTTTTAAACCTGTTAATACAGACATTTGCAGGCCTCAAGAACTGCAGAATTATTTTGTCTTACGCCTCTAAAGGCACTGGTGTAAGCACATCAAGTAAGAAGTAATTCGCCAAACTTCCCTACTCTGGTGCATCATATGAGATTAGCAAAATGAATATGGAGAATTATGCTGATAAGCTAGTAAAAAAACTGAAGGATTAAGTTGTTGCAGCCACTGCCAAAATGTATAATGCATCAGATCAAGTATTACTACAGTAACACACAAAAAAACAGAAATAGAGCAAGTGACATTTCTGACTAACAAGAACGACTTGATGATTTGCACAGAGCAAGTGGCAAAGCAAATCAATCTAGAAATCGATTTATGAAATGCAGACTAATCCCAATCTCAATTACACACATTGCTGCAAAATAGAAGGATCATGAATGGTTCCCAGTACAAATGCATCAGAACAAATAGCAGATACAGAGCAGATGATGTTCCTAATCCTTGTAAAAGGATTGCAAATCAATCTCACTACCAAGCGCACAAAACCTAACATCACAGAAGAAACAACTATCGTACTACATGACAGAGATGCAGCAGACCAACCAGCGAGACAAAATCACAAACACGGTATTTGCACAAAGACAAGCTCGATTTCCAAACTCCAGATGCGAATAGCTTTGTTTCATGATTCACTTGGAACTACAGGGGAAATAGCGAACTAGACAAGTCAGGTTCTCATCGAGCTTTAGAAATCTGCAGGGGGGAGACGAAGATTGACGACCACGAAGGGCCTAGCCGCCGAAGCCGTAGAGGGTGCGGCCCTGGCGCTTGAGCGCGTAGACGACGTCCATGGCGGTGACGGTCTTGCGGCGGGCGTGCTCGGTGTAGGTGACGGCGTCGCGGATGACGTTCTCGAGGAAGATCTTGAGCACGCCGCGGGTCTCCTCGTAGATGAGGCCGGAGATGCGCTTCACGCCGCCCCTCCGAGCGAGGCGCCGGATCGCCGGCTTGGTGATGCCCTGGATGTTGTCGCGCAGCACCTTCCTGTGGCGCTTGGCGCCGCCCTTCCCGAGCCCCTTGCCTCCCTTGCCGCGCCCAGACATGGTCGCCGACGAACTCGCCTTGGTTCGGGCTGCGAGAAAATGTCGGATTGGAGGAGCGGTGGTGATTGGTGTGGCGATGGGATGGGCGAAAGGGGATTTTTAAGGGGGCGAGAGGTCGGGGGAGGCGTGTGCCTGCCGTTCGATGAGGATGCAGTGGACGGTCAAGATGGGGATCCGCGAGAGAGATGCCGCGGATCGCTGACGTGGCGAGAGGAGCCGATTGCTGGGGTGGCAGGCCGATTCTCAAATTGAGTCGCGAGAGTTCTGCGTTTCCTCCTTTATTTTGTTCAAATATTGCTGCGATCTGTAGAGTAGAGTATACGGGACCGAAACTTCGGTTCTTGAATTTCATTTGCGCGTAGTTTCTCCGACTTTTTTTTGCGATGGTAAAAGAGTTTTATTCCAAATGTATAGGGTTACAATCGAGAGGCACCAACTCCTCAACATATGGTGGAACAGTACGAAGCCATACAACAGTTGTACTTTCTGTATGGCTATACAATGCCAACCGATGTGCTACCCTATTCTACCCACGTCTTATTTTTGACGGAATAAACTCTCGAACACCCATGAGATGCCGAATCTCAGCTACTAAATGTCCATAGGATAAGCTTTCTCCAGTCATTGCCGCAAGCGCCATTGAAGAATCGGACTACACTACGATCGGGCTAGTGCAGTGCTGCAGGGCTAGAGCCAGGCCTTGCATTATTGCATGTAGTTCTGCCTCAAGAGCGTCGTTGCAGTTGAATATGCATTTGTATGCCGCAAAGATCACGCTCTCGTCGTGCCGTCGCAGTATCATACCCGCCGTCGTCGTGCCATCCGCATGCATGAACGCTCCGTCCACAGACAGAGCTGCTCGGTCAGGCGGCGTCCTCGGCCACGGCAAGGGAATGCACGGTGCAGGAGCCACCGTGGCCGCTTCCTGAAGCATGGGCATCTTGCCTTTGATTACTTCTTCTGTGGAATATCGCCTGCAAATATTCAGCGAGTCCATATAACTCTGCAAAAAATCAGTCGTAGCCGCTAGAGGAGGCGACTCTTTCCCATGCGTTTAAGTCCGATCTTAGGTTCCAGGTCCTCCATATCAACATGATTGTGCAGTCCTGCATCACGTCATCACAATTTGCTAGAACATTCAGCAGCCAGTCCTTCCCTGTGTCCCTTAACAAGTCATGGTGGGGCAGCCGCCATATATCTCGCATTTGTGTCCAGACTGCCCTTGCATGCATACATGACACCAAGGCATGCAAGGTGTTATGCACTCCGGACCGAAAATTGACCACTCCGCTCCGGGAACCAGGCAATGAAATCATGGCCATTCCATGGTGAAGTGCGGATCTTCAAAATCTCATGAACACCGAGTTCCCAAAAGTGTTCCCTCAGCCTTTGTTCATTCCATGCCCCGTGTTCATTCAAAAAGTCAGCCACCCAATTAAACCGGCAATTCCTCTTTGGTGTGACCGGTCTAAAGTTATGTCCTCTCGGGATCCAAGCATCTCTCCAAGTCTTGATTAAGGTGCCATCACCAACACGCCAAATAATACCCTTCTTTAGAAGTTCCAGCCCATGAACAATACATTTCCAGACCGCCGACGAGTTTGAGGAAAAAATAGTGTCGAGTAAATTACCCCGTGGGTAGTATTTAGCACGCAATAAACGGGCACAAAGTGTTGGAAATATGCCTAGAGGCAATAATAAAATGGTCATTATTATATTTTTTGTTCATGATAATAGTCTATTATTCATGCTATAATTGTGTTATCCGGAAATCATAATACACGTGTGAATACATAGACCACAACGTGTCCCTAGTGAGCCTCTAGTTGACTAGCTCGTTGATCAACAGATAGTCATGGTTTCCTGACTATGGGCATTGCATGTCATTGATAACGGGATCACATCATTAGGAGAATGATGTGATGGACAAGACCCAATCCTAAGCATAGCTCAAAGATCGTGTAGTTCGTTTAGCTAGAGCTTTTCCAAATGTCAAGTATCATTTCTTTAGACCATGAGATTGTGCAACTCCCGGATACCGTAGGAGTGCTTTGGGTGTGCCAAATGTCACAACGTAACTGGTGACTATAAAGGTGCACTACAGGTATCTCCGAAAGTGTCTGTTGGGTTGGCACGAATCGAGACTCGGATTTGTCACTCCGTATGACGGAGAGGTATCTCTGGGCCCACTTGGTAACGCATCATCATAATGAGCTCAATGTGACCAAGTGTCTGGTCACGGGATCATGCATTACGGTACGAGTAAAGTGACTTGCCGGTAACGAGATTAAATGAGGTATTGGGATACCGACGATCGAATCTCGGGCATGTAACGTACCGATTGACAAAGTGAATTGTATACGGGATTGCTCGAGTCCTCGACATCGTGGTTCATCCGATGAGATCATCGAGGAGCATGTGGGAGCCAACATGGGTATCCAGATCCCGCTGTTGGTTATTAACCGGAGAGGCATCTCGGTTATGTCTTCATGTCTCCCGAACCCGTAGGGTCTACACACTTAAGGTTCGGTGACGCTAGGGTTGTAGAGATATGAGTATGCAGTAAACTGAAAGATGTTCGGAGTCCCGGATGAGATCCCGGACGTCACGAGGAGTTCCGGAATGGTCCGTAGGTAAAGAATTATATGTAGGAAGTGAAGTTTCGGCCATCGGGAAAGTTTTGGGGGTTACTGATATTGTATCGGGACCACCGGAAGGGTCCCGGGGGTCCACCGGGTGGGGCCACCTATCCCGGAGGGGCCCATGGGCTGAAGTGGGAGGGGAACCAGCCCCTGGTGGGCTGGTGCGCCCCCCTTGGGCCCCCTTGCGCCTAGGGTTGGGAAACCCTAGGGGTGGGGGCACCTCCACTTGCCTTGGGCGGCAAGCCACCCCCCTGGCCGCCGCCCCCCTTGGAGATCCCATCTCCTAGGGCCGGCGCCCCCCCTAGGGGGCCTATATAAAGAGGGGGAGGGAGGGCAGCCACACACATGCTCTTGGCGCCTCCCTCTCCCTCTGCTACACCTCTCCCTCTCGCAGACGCTTGGCGAAGCCCTGCCGAGATCGCTGCTGCATCCACCACCACGTCGTCGTGCTGCTGGATCTTCATCAACCTCTCCTTCCCCCTTGCTGGATCAAGAAGGAGGAGACGTCTCCCTGACCGTACGTGTGTTGAACACGGAGGTGCCGTCCGTTCGGCGCTAGGATCACCGGTGATTTGGATCACGACGAGTACGACTCCCTCAACCCCGTTCTCTTGAACACTTCCGCTCGCGATCTACAACGGTATGTAGATGCACTCCTCTCTCTTGTTGCTAGATGAACTCATAGATTGATCTTGGTGAAAGCGTAGAAATTTTTTATTTTCTACAATGTTCCCCAACACAAAGGCTGTCCAGGCTGTCCAGTAGGCGCCACGCTTGCTTGGCCAGCAGCGCTTGGTTGAACGCCCGCATATCCCGAAACCCCATGGCCCCCATATCTTTTGGTAGCATCATTTTCTCCCAACTTAGCCAAGCCATCTTTCTCTTACCATTTTCCACACCCCACCAGTACTGCCTAATCATTTTGGTTAGGTCGTCACATACTGATGCAGGTAACCGGAACACGCTCATGACATAAGTGGGGATTGCTTGAGCCATGGCCTTTATCAAGATCTCCTCGTTTCCAACTGACATGTATTGTTCACTCCAGTCAACTAGCCTCTTCCTTAGCCTCTCCTGTAGAGTTCTGAACTGCCCCTTGTGCACTCTTCCCTCTGGCACAGGAAGGCCTAAATATTTTGGCTCGAACACGTGTTGTGTTATCTCCAGAATGCTCTTTACCTCTTCCGCCACCGGCTCATTGCAATTATCCGAAAAAAGAATGGAACACTTCTCGGGGTTAATGAGTTGACCCGTCGCTGAGGAATAAGTGTTCAACAAACCTTTTACAATATTTGCTTGTTCGCCTGAAGCTTCGAAAAATATCATAGTGTCATCCACAAATAGGAGGTGAGATATGATCAGCACACCATGACAAATATTCACCCCCTTCAAATTCCCCTCATTCACTGATTTGGATATCAGGGTAGACAAGGCATCAGCAATAAATAGTAATAAAAATGGGGATAGTGGGTCACCTTGTCGAAGTCCCCTAGATGGGGTAAACACCTTCAAAAGTTTCCCATTGAATTTTACCGAGTATCTTACTGATTTAACACATGTCATAATCCATGCTATCCACTGATCCGAAAAACCCCATTTACCTAGGGCATGTTCCAAGAATGCCCAATCAACATGATCGTACGCCTTCGAAAGATCAAGTTTATAAGCACAAGCCGCCCGGCTATTATTCTTCAAACTCTGTATGTGATGGATACACTCAAAAGCAATAATAGACTTGTCCGAGATGAGGCGACACGGAATAAATGCACTTTGGTTCTTCGAAATCAGCTCCGCAAGCAGAGGTCGGAGTCGATTAACCAAGCACTTGGACACGATCTTGTAAATAACATTGCATAGGCTAAATGGCCTAAAGTCCTCCAGCTCCTTGGGGTGAGGAACTTTAGGAATTAAAGCAATCGCCGTATCATTCACTCCCTCTAGCATTGAACCTGAAGTAAGGAACTCCAACACAGGAGCAATAATTTCAACTTTCAGAGATGACCAATTCCTTTGGTAAAATCTGGTCGGGAAACCATCCGTTCCCGGAGCTTTCAAGGGTTTCACTAGTGGCTTCTTTCAAGATAGCATAAGCATTACGGTGGGTGAACAAATTACTGTCGAGCAATTGATAGAAAAGCGAATAATTATGAGATTATCTAGGCATGATCATGTATATAGGATTCACGTCCGTGACAAGTAGACCGACTCCTGCCTGCATCTACTACAGTTACTCCACACATCGACTGCTATCCAGCAAAGTTCATAAAGAACGGA